AGTTTATCAGTGCATTGGGCTCAATAGCAGTGGCCTTTTCCTAAAAAGGGCTTTTGAGCCCTTTCCTTGATGATGTGCCTAAAACTCAGGGTAATTTGTTTGGTCATGTGTTCTTTCTTCCTGCTACTAAGTGTGAAGCATGTTCATGGGCTGCTAGAATGCTAATCAGAAGGGCTTTAGGATTGACATGCCTAAGGACCCATTTCTACTGGAGCTCATGTTCTAGCAGGGATGTCTCTTCCACAGACCAATCATTTAATGCAGAAGTCTATGAACACTTTAAAAAATATATCTGATCCAGAGGAGGAAGATTAAACTGTTCAGAAAAGCTTCCTAGAGCTATGCGTGGTAGGCTTGGAGGGTGCTGGAGGAGCCCACCATGCAGTGGACAACAGCAGTGGGGACAGGTGAAAGGCTCGAACTACCAGGCTTGGGTAGGAGTGCCCTGTTGATGATATTGCAGGTACATCAGGAATACTAAGAAAGATTCTGATAGTCTAAGTGGGGATGATATGGACAGTAGAACAAGAGTGGAGTAGTCTAAGTGGGGATGATATGGACAGTAGAACAAGAGTGGAGTAGTGGGGATGATATGGACAGTAGAACAAGAGTGGAGTAGTAAGTGGGGATGATATGGACAGTAGAACAAGAGTGGAGGGTTGTCTGAGAACTCATCCAAAAAATAAAACAAGATGAGGGACTTATTCAAGAGGACTAGGGAAAGACAATGTCAGGGTGTCTCCCTGGGTTTGGGCTGCCACCTCTAAATGGAGGGGTGAAAGTGAGGGAGCCATGGCCTGTGTATGCACAACCCAGTGCATGGGATGTGGAGCTATTTCTCATAGCCCTTGGATTCACTTCTAATGACTGCCTCTGGCTTGTGGAAGAAGTAATGGTTCATATGTTTCCTGTCCTGAAGAGAACTGGAGAGTTTTTGTTCCGAGAGTAGAAACAACCTCCTAATTAAGGCTGAGGAGAAAGGGAGGCTGTGCCTCCTGCAGTGCTCAGAATCCAATTTTGTTCCCTTCAGGTTACTCATGAGAGAAAAGAGTGGAGTTTTGAGAGCAGAGAATTTTAGAAGGCACAATACTCCTGATTAGTGTAGATATCTAAGCTTCTTTCACAGAGAACGAAGGCTTGCTAGCTGTCCGGGGAGAACCTTCCAGCACAGAATCTTCCAGAAACTTAGGAAAGTTCTCTCTTGCAATGCCAGTGTAAGAGTTGAGGATTTTTTTTTATTAAGAAAAAATTTTCATTCATTTTACACACCAATCAAAGATTCAAAGATCCCCTCTTCCCTCCTTCTGTCCCCCAGCCTCCCCCCTCAAAAAAAAAAAAGAGTTGAGGATTTATTTATTTAAAGAAAGAAAAATTTAATTAATCTATAATCAAGCATAGACTGGGGTGTGAGAAAACTCCAAACTGAACCTTGTGTTTCATTGGGAGCTTCACTGGACTTAGATGGGGAAGCTGGAGCTCGATTCTGACCAAGTTCTCATAAAGGCAGGCCTCTTTTTATTATGACTGTAGGATTCACAATACAGTGTTTTGTTTTTGGGGGGGGGGGTGCTTGTGGCCACTAGAAATCACAGCTCTGTGTGGTTAGAGTTCTTGCAGATATCTGAAAATGCCAGAGATGTACTTCACTGCCTTCAGTGTGCTGTTATCACTGGGTCATCAGTTTGTGATACAAATCATTGCCTGCAAAACACGCACACATTATTACTGTATCACACATTGGGGACCGCTTTTAAAGATTTTGATAAATTTACTTCAATATAGTCAGTTTTTTAATCCCATATATTATATTTTATGTATTTAAAAAGCATTCTGAGTACATTTTATCAGATTTTTCAGTTGGCTAAAGAGAGATACATGGCACAGAAAATGTTACTGTCCCCCAGCTAATATCTTATAGTTGTGGCATATGACCTCCACCTGGTGGCAGCATACACCTTAAAGGTTAGATCTGTAATCAACAATTTGGAAGAAATTCTAAGCATAACAATATACTTGAATATGGTTTTCAAACTTTTTTTTTACTGCAGCCCACAAAAAGAAATTAGCCTTTCATCATAACTCATACACAGCCTACATTTCACAAAGCAGTTCTCAATTTTACCATGTGATACACTGATATTTTTTATGGCTTTCTAATATTCTCTTGGATCTCTTTAATTAAAATAAATTCTGGATGCATCATACTAAGTTGCATTTAGATGGCCACGGTATACTGGTCTCATAGGAGGCCATATAATATACACACAGTTTCAGACCTCATACTTACATTTTAAAATTATTTATTAGTGGTCAATTATTTATACTAGGTGAGAACAGAAGAACTGCTATTAGGTGTACAACCAAGATCCCCTTCAGGACCCAGCATCTTCCTGTCACTGCATTTGGCTTCTTCATATGCCTGTCAGGAACTGCCCTGGCACTTCACTACACATGGCTCTCACTGTTGTAGGACTTCCTGTCATGGAGCCATATTGTAAGCATCCATTGGTCTGGCCTCTTTAGCTCATTCTGTTTTTGAGATGAGTCTATTTTGGCTGTGTCAACATTTTGGTGAATGCTATTCCATTGTGTGACCAGAATACAACTAGATTATTCTCCTGTTGATGAGCCTTGAGTCTGTCTTCATTTTGGGTTAGTGTAAACAGAGCTCTCAGGCTCAGGTAAACTTGTAGGGCGGCCTTGTTGGCCTAGACAGTAAGTGCATGACTACTTGTAGGAAACTGGCAACATTTGCCAAAGTGGTTCAGCCCAGTTCCATTCCCACCAGTGTGTAAGCTGTGGCTGCTTCATCTCCTCCGTGCCAAGTACTATTGGTCTTTGTACTTCCTTCTCATGCATTTTGTGGCTGTAGCTATTGATTGGGAACTGAATTTGACAGGTGAACAGTGATGTTGAACACTTTTTCATGTGCAGTCATCCATGTATTTAAGCTTAGATTTTAAGAACATCTATCAGCCCATAGAAGTTGTTTCCACATTTTGTATACCAATCCTTCATGTCAGACATGCGTATTTCTGAGTATATTTTATCCAGTTTGCAGTACACATAGCATTCCACTTGTGGTATTGCTGATGAACAGACATTTCTTCTTTTGACGATATCAAGTTTAATCAACAATTTTTCCTGCAATGTTTTTTATTTTCTAGATCATACATAAGAATTATTTTCCTGCCCTTATGATGAGATTAATAGTGTTTGGTTTTCATGCTTAAGTCTGTAATCCATCTCAAAATAAATTTTGTGTCTGGTAGTAAGGCAGATGCCACTTGAGTTTCATTTTTCTTTTTGTGTTTGTACCTGATGCTCTAGCACCATTTGTTAAATCTGTTTTCATCATGTTTTCACAAAAGTGTAAAAAGGAAAATTAAAGGCCTTCTTAGAGATTTATAAAAGTGACTTTCCTACAGGTCTATTGACTGAATCTCTGTGTCTTTTGGACATCCCCAACCTATGGTCTTGGTTATACATTCTTTCCTTTCCACAGTGTTTGTTTACTGTTATCTTGGTAATCTCAGAAATGACTCATGAGGTGTGAAGATTTGTAAAGTTACTGCCTCTGTGTATGTGTTTGTGCACGAACCCCTACAGGTTCCCCTGCATGAGTTCCTACATGAGGCCAGAGGTCAGCATCTTCCTGCATTGATCTTCACTTTCTTTTTTGAGACAGGGTCTCTTATTGAACCTGGAGCTTGCCATTTCAGTTTGACTGACTGGCCAATAAGCTTTCTGGAATCTGCTTGTCTCTGCCCTCCCAGCACTGGGACTTGAGGTACATCTCAGGGCTGGTCCTCATGCTTGCATAGCAGACACTTTACCCACCAAGCCATCTCTCTAGCCTGGCTACATCTGTTCATGAGATCCATCTACCTGCTGCCCAGTGTAGAGACATTAGCTACATGGGGCTATCAAATTTACTTTAAATAAAATTAAAATGTCAGCTTTTCAGCCATGGTAGTCATATTTTGAGTACTCAGTTAGCTACACTATTGTACCATACAGACATACAATATTTTCATTTTTTTCTCTTAACGTTCTGCATGAGCTAGCCAATAGATTAAGAAAACAAGCTTTGAAAATTCACAGCATATTTGAAACTCTCCTTAGTTTTGATAACTGGCATCCAATGTCTACCTTCTTTATTCTCTGGTTTTCTTTCTTCTTGTTTTTAATGGGTATTTATTTCTAGTCCAAGCTCTTTGGTCAACCTAATTTCTTGTCAAAAGACAATAGCTTATATAGATTCTTTACTACTGAGGAGAAATGTAGGCAGAAGTTTCTGTCTCACCAAATAAGCACACCAAAACTTATATTAATTATAAATGCTTGGCCAATAGCTCAGGCTTGTTACTGGCTATCTTTTACATTTAAATTAACCCATATTTCTTATCTACACTCAGCCGCATAGCTTAGTACCTTTTTTCAGTACAGCATGTTCATCTCACTGAGTCTGCTGGCAACTCCTCTGACTCCACCTTTCTTTATCCCAGCATCCTTAGTTTGGTTGTCCTGCCTATACTTCCTTCCTGGCTACTAGCAAGTCAGTTTTTTATTAACCAATGAGAGTAATACATATTCACAGTGTACAGAAGGATTATTCCATGGCAGAGAAAGGATGTCCCTGGCTCTGTATATAATTGATCTTTTCTGAAGTCTACCTAGTATTGATTGCTGTGTTCAACTTCTCTCTCTGTTTGGCAGCCTTCCAGCTGCCATTAAGATTTCTGGTGAGCCCTTTTCAAGATGTAGTCTAAAGACAGTTATTTGTCATTTCTGTCCTAGTTAAGCCTATGTTTCTTCTTAACATTTCCACTATAAATATGAACTTATGAATGTTAGTAGCCATGCTGAGATTCTATCCAGGAGTGATTTTGTTGCTGTTTTCTTGTGTGAGGAGTTTGTGAGATTCTCTGTAGTTATCTACTGTGCATGAGCTTCAGATACATTCTGCCATTAATAAATATTCACCCCTTCTCTTTCAGTGTGGAAATTTTGCTGTCCTTGTGGATCTTCATATAGTGCCACAACGTTCAAACAAAGATTCCAGTTGGTTTTCTGAACAGAAGAAAGAGGTACAACAAACATTTTTGTTCTTTAAACAGTTTCTTTTTGTACCTGCTGAAAGAAATGTCAGCTCTTCTCAGTTTCATTTTCATTAATGTTTTCCTTTAAAAAGTTGAGTGATAGTTAACTACTGAAAATTAAGACAATACCTAGTAACAAATATACATGTGTGTCCACCTCTGCCTTTGAGAAACTGACATAGCCATATGTTTCTTATGCTAATCTGTTGTTGACTTGGTTCTCTGTGTGTGTGCATCTGGTGTTAGGGATTTAATCTAGGGCCTTTACATGTTTGGTAGGTACCTCATCATCTCTATATCCTCATCTCAGGCTCTGTTATTTATACCAAAAATTCTAATCCCCTTTACTTTGGGGAAAATGGTTCTCTATAATAGAAAGGGAGGAAAAAGAAACCAAACTACTCCAAGCAGGCAGTGATTTTGATCTGAGAAGGCCAGCGGCACCAGGAACAGGTGTGGAATTCACACAAGGCTAATCCACATCTGTATTAATCCTGACTTCCATGTTCACCTCTTTTCACTGTCATGGGCCTTTGACAAGTGAAGAGGAACTTCAGTCTTCCTCATCTGCCAGTAAAGCAGATAGTTCGTATGGATGGATTGATTGAATAACACAAGTTTGGAGTATGTAGTTTTGCTCTGCTAATACATGAAATTTTAGGAGAATTTTGGGGAAAAAAAGCTGGTGGGTGAACTTCATAGCCTAGAAATATTGAAAATTGTTTAAGTAAGATGTAATTATTTTACTGTTTACTTCCAAAATTGGCTACAGTTGATTAAGCTTTTCAGTGATCTCAGTTGTGATGGTCAGCCTAAAACTGATGCGTTACTGTTGCCACATGAGCAGTTAGCCTTTCTACTAAATTGCATGCCAGAGTTAAAAAAAAAAAAATCTCTGCCATTCCTAAGTATTTGTTTAACCATGGTTAATGCATCTAAAATATAAAATGTTTCATTTAATTATTTTTTATTAGTAAGCCTTTCCAGTCAATAGTTAACTATTTATTTAAGAAGTGACTCATCCTGGGGAGCTGAGATAAATTCCCAGCACACACATACGCATACACACATATATCAAAATCAAAATCTTCAAAACCAGTTATTAGTAGTTAAGTTACAGGAGAGTCAAGAATTATCCTCGTGTCTCCACCTATGCTTCTCTCCCATGGTTTGCAGGGGTTGAGTCTGATATTTGACCTCCCCTAGAGCTTCCTCCTCTTCTGTCTTCAAATTTGACCGGATAAGTTTGACCAGATAAGACCTCAGTCTCCCGTGGCTTCAACACCCTCTCTGTGAGTTCCTGTGGTGGGAAATCATTGTTTGTTTCCTTCTGTAGAGATCAGGGACAGATACTGAGGCAGAGGCCTGTTCAACAGTTCAAAATAGGCCAGTTGGATGGTTCCATGGGTAAAGGTGTCTGCCACCCAATGCTGACCTGAGTTCAATTCCCAGGACAGGCAAGGTGGGAGGAGAGAACTAACTCCTGTAAGTTGTCCTCTGACCTCCACAGGTACACAGTGTCATGTGTGTGCCCACACAACTACACACATATACACTACAAGTAAATGAGTAAATGTAATTTAAAAACCTTCAAAACATACTGTTCTTCATTCCTTCCTAGTGTTTATCTGCTGCCATTACTTTTAGAGGAGTAAAGAAAAGTAAATTGTATTAAGCAGGAATGTTGAATAGTAATAAGACGAGTAACAGGAGAGGGGAACCTGCTGTTTGTGATCATTTGTTCATGTCCCTAAAACTAACCTACCCACCCACTCAGTCAAATGGTAACACAACCAGTACTTTGTGGTCATTATTTTGCAGGGATACCTAGTGACCTAATTTTAAGAAGAAGACACAAAGTTATGGACTGTTCTCTTGAAGACTTTATATTTAACAGGTCAGGACTTTTGTCCTCTATTCTCCATCTTGTAATCTCAAATTCTAGGCCACTAACATACGTCCATATGATTCAAATTAGTACATTCATTCCACCAAAGTAAGTAATATTTCATACAAGGAATCTACCCTATGACTTCTGAAAGGTTCTCAGATCCACCATTTCAGGCCCCAACTTTCCCATGTTCCCTCACAGCTTGAAGACTTAAGCTGTAGACCTTTAACGTTGATACTTAGGCAGTTTTGACCAAGAATGGTTGATATGGGATATTCTAGAGCCAAGATAATGTGAACCACCTCCTCTGGAAAGCACAAGCGTAGATTTCTTGTCAAGGTGCCACATCCAGCTGCATTGTTCCAACTAGTGCCTAGTCCAGAGCAATGAGGCATGACTTAGCAGAGGTGCATGATGGGACCTACAGAGAGCTGCTTCAGTGGTGAATGCAAGAGGTCTGCTTACTCTACCAAGTTGAGCTTTCCTCTCAAAGCAAACTGATAGTTTGCTGCCTCTATTAAGCAATATATGTTCACTGATATTGGAGTTAGTCAGAGATAATTTATGTCCGTGTCTTCAGAAGGAGACTTGAAGAAAGGTTGACTTTACATATGTTCGATCAATGCTTTCTTGTTTTTTAATCTCTAGATCATCTCATGATTGGGGTTTCATAAACAACCAGTTTGATTGCATTTTAACAGTCACTTTGATTAAAAAGAGGACTGGGTTCATATATTTAACATATGTTTCATTTGAGTCCAGGTCAAGTTGTCTTTGGACTCAAAGAGACAAACTGAAATTGTCTCATTTGTAACCTTGAGGAAGCAAACCCGAGCCTCTGTTAGCATAGGGAAGCTGCGCCTGTCTCCCTCTCACTCATGGATTTTTACTTGGTCCTTCATCTACTTCTCAGACAGTGCTGGCTGTTTTCTTCTCCTGCATTGCCCTGGGTCTGAAGAAGATGCCTTACCCAGCCTGGCACATCAGTTCTTAGGTATCTGTCTACTCTGACATTGCCCATTTTTAATTCCTGAAACCTGATTCCCATAAAGAATGCCTAGAATATAGTGAGAAACTTCATGTGTATGGGCTCTATTTTTGTCATACTATTTTTAGTTCTAGCCTTATAGGGTATTTATGACCAAATTTTAACAATCCTTGTTGCCTTGTGTGTCTTCTACATATTTTCTAGCTCAGTCATAGTTGAACCCTGCATGTGAAGCAAAAATTATTTAATTGCTAGAACAACAGTATGAGGCAAGGCTGCCTTTGTGTAGTGTGAGCAGTGCCAAAGCATTCAGCTGTAAATGGATATCTTTATATTCTACGAAGCACTGCATCTTTTAGCTGCAAATAAAAAGCAAGAGAGAGGAGACTGGCATTTGTATTTTATGTAGAAATGTCTATGTTTGTGTTAAATCAAGGGTTTTATATATTGTTTAAGGGGTATTTGCAAAAAAAAAAAAAAAAAAAAAAAAAAAGAACAAGCAGCCAAAAACCTGGTTCATGTTGTAATTACGAAGAGTCTCAACGATTAACCTGTGATTGATGGCTCTCCGAGAAACAAGTGGAACAAGTTTGAGGTGACCTGAACAGCTCTGAATCTGCTGCAGAATTGTTGAGAATTGATCTAGGATTTATCACTCATTAACTACCAGTTTTATATGTAGCTTCTGATTTCCTATGGTAAATTGCATTTTCTTGGTAATGCAGGAAACACTACACAGAATATTAATAAACATTATGTGGTTGGATTTCTGAGTTATTTTTTGTTGCTGTCCTTTGCAAATATTACATGCCAACTAGTATCTCTAGATACTAAATATTATTTATTAATAATATGGCATGCTGAAATTGAATTCAAGCCTGGTCCTGCTATCTAATAACCACAGACACGAGAAGCTACTTTTATCATTTATGAATGAAGAATATGAATGTGATTTTAAAAAGTAGTTGGGTCTAGAGCATAATCACAATGGTAAGCAGATCACATTACCCTCTTGCCAACATGCTGACTCTCTTGTGTTTGTAAACCCAAGGCCAGAAACCAATGAGTGATGGTGGTTACACCACAGTAAAATATAAAAAATAAATTTGAACCATGCTGGAAAATGAAAGGTTCCACTCCACTGTTTCTGGCTTTTCTTGTATAAATAACATCGGGTAACACTGTATCTGCAAGCAGGACAATAGTGCAGTGAGACAGGGGCCAGAGCCAGTGGCAGCTGTAACCTGTCCCCAAGCCACCTGTACTGACTATAGGAATGTTCTTACACTCCTTTCTGCCTCTGTAAGTACCCCAAGCCCCATGCTGAACCTATGTAGACAGCTCCATGTGATTTATCTCTTCTTTCCATATAGTGTGGTGGACTGATACTTATATGAAAACATTCCTGAAGTCACATCCCGCTTTTGAAGTAAACTTTTAGATCTTCCATTTGGAATTGTGAAACTGAGGCAGAGAGGAACTAAAGTGAGCCAACATCAGTCATGGAGCCCTCTTTGGCAGCACATTTAACGTGCACTGCACCCTGGAAGATGGCACAGCATTCACAGCTAGGTTCAAAAGCTAACTAAATGCCAGCATTTGCTTTTTCAGCATGTATAATCTTTTCTTCTTTGCATTGCATTAAACTAGAAATGTCTAATGTTTTAAATTTACTTTAGGAAGTTTGCTTGCTGTTAAAAGAAACCATTGATTCCAGAGTTAAGGAGTACGTGGGCATGTATAAACAGCACAGGCCATCAAATGCAGAATTCACCAGATCCAGTCCCTTGTCCTTAAAAGGTAGGCAACAAGCACTGCAATTTTGGACAAAGAAAATAGAATTTCTGCTTTGTAGAGATTGCAATTATATTTGACTCTGTCGTGTTAGCATAGTGATACATTAAAAAAATATGCTGTAATGAAGATACTGAGTTTGAGTAACAAAAATGCACCAAAAAGCCCTAAAGGGCTTTTAATGGTAGGCAAAATATATAAAAATAGCAAATAAAACATTCTTAAGGAAACTGTAAAATTTTAAAGGTCTTTTTTGTTTTTGGGGTTTTTTTTTTGACAAATAGTCTTACAAATGGATTTATATTAATACTGACA